CATTTTCTGTTGCCATCTTTTAAAGTCAATTCCTGAGATCTTATTATTCTAGTCTCTTGTCCAGTCTTCTTTGGAAATACATGTTCAAAGAAAGATGCATTCTGAGATTCAATAATGGTATTTACATGCATTTCGGAATGTTCTGATTTATGAATCAAAAACCGATATGCACTACTATTCTTGGCATAACCAATGAAAATGCAATCAATGGTCTTAGGACCTATCTTAGTCTTTTTAGGACTAGGGATAGCCACTTTAGCCAAACACCCCCACACTTTTAAGTATTTGTAGGATGGTACTCTTCCATGCCATAATTCATAAGGTGTTTGATTTATTTTCTTTCGGGGTACTTTATTTAAAATATAATTAGCAGAAAGTATTGCTTCCCCCCACAAGTTCTGAGGTAATCCAGAACTGATTAACATGGTATTCATCATTTCTTTTAAAGTCCTATTTTTCCTTTCAGCAGTTCTATTTTGCTGAGGTGAGTAAGGAGCGATGGTTTGATGAATTATTCCATGTTCTTTACAAAACTCACCAAAAGGTGATTCATATTCACCACCTCTATCACTTCTAAGTTTCTTGATTTTCTTACCAAGTTGATTTTCTACTTCATTCTAATATTGAATGAAAGTTTCCAAAGCTTCATCATTGGTTCGAATTAAATAAACATAACTATATCTAATATAGTCATCTATAAAAGTGATAAAATACTTTTTCCCACCTCTAGTTTGAATTGATTTAAAATCACAAATGTCACTATGAATTAATTCAAGTGGTTCCGTACTTCTTTCAATTGAATGAAAATGAGTTTTAGATAATTTTGCCTCAACGCAAATTTCACATTTATGATTTGAATCAATGTTAAATTTAGGTAAACATTCCATATTAATTAATCTACGCAAAGATCCATAATTAACATGTCCTAGTCTACCATGCCATAAATTTGAAGACTCAAGCAAGTAACTAAATTCTTGCGAATGTCCGATACATGCAGTACATTGTTAAGAGTGAGTTCCTTTCCAGATGTCATCTTGAGTACAATCTTTCCTTGTCCTTCAACTCTGGAAGTTGAGGAGTTGCCCATAAAAAGTTCACCATTATCTACTGAAGAATAAGATGTGAACATCTTTTTGTCGGCACAAATATGGCGAGTAGCACCAGTGTCCACCCACCATTCTTTAGGATTTCCGACAAGATTTGCCTCGGAAACGACTGCAGAAAGATTGATGTCATCGACACCATTGGAAATATTGTCCACTTCAGTCATGTGGGCTTGAGCAGGCTTCTTGCTTGTTCTTCTTTTGCTTTTGCCTTTGCTACGACAATCTTTGGCCCGATGTTCCTCTTTGTCACAGATGTAACATTTGCCATTAAACTTGTACTTTTTATTTTCCCCTCCTTTAGAGCCTTGTGATGAACTTTCTCCAGAAGACTTTCGTTTCTTGGTTTTTGAAGCATGTTCCACCACATTTGCCTTAGACTCCATAGGAAACTTACCAGCCCGCTTTTTAGAATTGCGGTTGTCCTCCTCAATCCTCAAACGCACAATTAACTCGTCCATAGAAATTTCTTTGCGCTTATGTTTGAGGTAGTTCTTGAATTCCTTCCAGACTTTTGGTAATTTTTCAATTAAGGCTGCAACTTGAAAGGATTCACTGAGAGACATACCTTCTGCGTGAATGTCATGCAGAATGAGTTGGAAATCTTGAGCTTGGCTGATCACAGTTTTTGAATCAACCATTACAAAATCCAAGAATCTGCCAACCACAAATTTCTTTGAGCCGGCATCTTCCGTTTTGTACTTTTTCTCCAACGATTCCCAAAGTTCCTTTGTTGTCTTGATTGGACTGTAGACGTTGTATAATGTGTTGTCAAGTCCGTTCAAGACATAATTTCGGCAAAGGAAATCAGCATGTTTCCAAGCATCAACCGCAGCAACCACTTGCTGGTCGGTTTCATCCTCTTTCAGGATAGGAGTATATTCACGGAGAAAACGAGCCAGGTTCAGAGTTCACTTGCCGGTCGGTTTCATCCTCTTTCAGGATAAGAGCATCTTCACGGAGGAAACGAGCCAAGTTTAGAATTGTAAGATAAAACAACATTTTCTGTTGCTATCTTTTAAAGTCAGTTCCTAAGAACTTCTCTGGCTTTTCACCGTGATTTACTGGTACTGTTACAACAGGAGAGGGGGTTGGTGTCATTGCAGCCACCACAGTAGTACTTGTTTGGGCATTTGTTTTAGTAGCCATCAATTCTAATATATAAAACAAAATTATAATTAGAATTTACACTACACAGAAAATTAAACCAAATCCACAGAATTAAATTCCGTAAAAATAAAAGAAACAAGAATGTAACTTTTATTTTCCAATTAATTTAAAAATAAAATAAAATTTTATTTAAACAAATCAATTCCACACAGAAAATTAAATTCTGTAAAAATGAAAGAAATAAAAAACTATAACTTTAGGCACGAATCATCCCGAGTAGTACGAGTCGTTTGCTCTAAACTATGTTAGCAAAACGACCCGTCTCTCATAGCATGACTCGTCTCGTACTTTGAATACAAACACAAAGAATACTAATGTATGGAAAACATTAAACAATCACAGAGAGTAAAATGCTTGAAGAGAAGAACGAAACAATTATTTATAAACTTCTAAAACACCCATACATTCATTCAAACCAAGTTACAATGAAAGCTCGTGAAAAATTCCATTACATGGCTAGGGTTTCATCAAAACCCTGGAAAAGACACCTAGCCACTCATGGAGGAGTGGAAAGAGGAAGAAGATGAAGAAGAAGCCCCCATGGAAGTGTTTTCCAAGCTTTGGTAGTGTCTCCCCCTTTGGAACCCTAGCCTCCCTCCTTTCTGTATTCAATTTTTCAAACCCTAACTGTGACTGATTTTCTATCTTTTATTCGGAGCAAAATAGACCAAAAAGTCCGTGAACGCGTCCCTAGGTTGGCCGCTCGTGCGGTGGTGTTGGCCGCTCGTGCAGTGGTGGACCGCACGTGCGGTGGAACTTGGCCGTGTTGGAACAATCTTCTGTGTAAACAAAATAATTAGAAATAAATTCAAACAAAATAAATAAATAACATACCAGATTTATTTTGTCGAGCCAAATAAAAATTACAAGACTAAGTCGAGTGTGTGACACTCTGTCCTTAAGACAGATTCGCCACGCTACGGTACTTACGGTTGAGTGGCGTCTATCTCCCAGGATACAATGATCTTCACAAATTATAGTAGCACTCCAAACAATTTGTTCGGCGAACCAAACATGTGTTCTAACTCTCTGAATATTTATTCCTAAAATTATAAATGAAGAATCATGTACTAAAGATTACAAATGGACAGAAAGAACAAATTTTAGATTGATTTCTTCCGATGTCCTAAATGTTGGATTTATGGCAGTATATATAGGCAACCAACCACTGCCCGAACAGGTCCAAATAAATAATGAAAAGGTGCATAAAGCCTATGAACAGGTGCACCTTCTACTATTCAAATTTGAGGTGTGGTTTTGACCGTAATAGGAACAAAATTCCAAATAAATTGAAAAGGGACCCATTGGAACAGTTAAGGAACTGTTTCACCTTTATTGTTTAAACCATTTAATATATATATATATATATATTAAACTAATGGAAAACATTTATTAAACTATTTTGAATAGTTTAATCATTTTTTAGGAAACCACAATTTGAATTTAGAATTAAATTAAATTCCCACAATTACAAACTTTAGGAAACCACTCAAGAATCCAAAATTTGAATTTAGAATTAAATTAAATTCCCATAATAATTTTTATTGAAAAAATTCAAATGAATTTTATCTAAAAAGTTAATGTTAGATCCGAAAACGACGTTAACTTCTCATTCACTCATAAATGGTTTTGGCGTTCCGTCTTCACCGTGTGACTTGCCATGCGGCAAGGAACATGTCACCTCTTCGGACTCACCCCAAAGATGTTTGGGACCCACTCAAATTGAGATAAAAAATATGCCTATATTAAACCATTTTTCCAACAGGCCGCACGTGCGGTGGTCTGGTGGACTCGGATTTTTCACGTCTCGCTCGGAGAATCTGATTTTGCGCCCCCGTTTGATTGAATTTTCATATTTCCTGTCAAATCTGTACAAGTGCACGAAACACATCATCACCACCAAATAAATAAAATTAAAAGACAAAAAATGTAACTTAAGTGGCCTAAATGTGGTACCTTTCGGCCTACATCAACTGCAGATGACACGTAATGGAAACAATTTTCTTTTTCCCAGGGATAGTTTTCTTCACAATTCGATGGTGGGATATCACATTCTTTGAAGCCATGCATCCCGAGGGAATGGCTCAGATAGCTTCATTGCCTTACGTAGAAAGCAAATCTTTCCTCTGGACATGGCTATTTTTTGTACCCTTGGCTACTTACAGCATCTGGCAAGCTCTCTATTTTCTCATTGTAAATGTCCTACGTCGGCAGAGACTGTTAAGAGATCCCGAAGTCATGACTTCATACAGGTTTCCAATTAACTCTTTGTTTGGTTCTTTTTTTCTTTTTTGTCAATTCCAATTTCAATTCCAATTGTTACCCATTCTAACAGTTTCTGGGTGCAATAGGGAACTCTCGAAAAAAGCTCAGAAAGCTAACAACATATGGTGGCATTTAAGTGGTTTGCTTGGTGAACAAAATCGCCTCTTCATGTATATAATGCTCCAGGCATTATTCACTGTGGCAACCATGGCACTCACGGTCCCTATATTTTTGTCATATAGATTACACATTATTTTCCAAATTCTCAAGGTCTCTGCAACAGTATGGAATGGAGCAATCTTTTTACTTGAAGTGATGCCGAGGCAGGTGGTTCTTAAGGAGAAAAAGAAAACAGTGATGCTAACTGGTCATACCCAGGAAGATCAATCTGCCATTGCACTAGAAAATACAATTAAGGTAGACATTTCTGCCAAGAACCAGCACTCCTAGCAGTTGTATGCATTTTAGCATCTTGTAAAATTATGATTTGTGGAGGAAAACTCATTTAGCTGATTTGTTTGTTTTAGGCCTCGTTTGGGAACAGGCTAATTTAGTAACTTTTTGACTAATTGGCTAAAGTATGAGCTAAAAAAAACTAGTATATTTGGGATGACTTTTTGACTTTTTATGAAAAGATGTGCAAAAAGTAGAGAGAAAAGATAATCTTTTTTTTTATATGGGTTGTTGACTTTTTGGCTAATTTAGTAACTTTTTGACTTTTTAACTAAAAATGAGGGTTCCCAAACGAGGCCTAGTCGTTGTAGTGGTTGTTTACAAGTCATTGATAGTGATCGGCAAGTCTAGATGATTCTTAACTCGTAGTTTTTATTTCAATTTGATTTATAGAGGGTAATGATAGGAAATAAGAGTAAGATAATTTGAAGTTAGTGGTGTATGATGCTTTCAAAATGTGTGTATGCTATGTTTCTAAGGGTCATTGTCAGAGAAGATAAATTCATATGTTTTATAATTCAATTGATTTGCTGTGGGAACTGCTCAAATTAATTGCATTGTAATCAATGCTAGACTAATTGGCCTGAATAACTAAACTATTGATTAGTCTCATATCTCAAGCTATCCATGGTTTTTTCTATGTTTCTAAGGGTCATTGTCAGAGAAGATAAATTCATATGTTTTATAATGAGTAATGCTAGAGACCCCAAATATTCTACCAAAAGTTTTACCAAATGTCTCACATGTGTGTGGGACCCACACAATGTGGGTCCCATGTGGGTCCCACACTCATGTGAGACATTTGGTAAAACTTTTGGTAGAATTTTTGGGGCCTCTAGCATTTTGCTTTTATAATTCAATTGATTTGCTGTGGGAACTGCTCAAATTAATTGCATTGTAATCAATGCTAGACTAATTGGCCTGAATAACTAAACTATTGATTAGTCTCATATCTCAAGCTATCCATGGTTTTTTGCAGCTTGCAAGAATCTTTCTAGGGCTTGGATATTCTCAAGTACTCTCCGAGTAAGTTGGTTAGGTGAGAGAGTCAGTCCCAGTCATTTCTTCTGTATGCTTCATTGGTCGACAATATGACATGCATATGATACAACAGTGTTTCAGCACCATTGAATAAGGTCAATTGCCATCTTTTGAGCAAAGACCCTTCTGCAATTGGCTGCCTATTCTTTCTTTTTTTTGTCCTTTCTATTTTTATTTTTATATATACCTTTCATAGAGCAATTTGCATATTTTCACTTCTATTTTCCAGTCATAAGGCTCTCAAAAGAGGCTTACATTGTTCTTTGTTTGCTGACCCAAAATTTGTATGACAACTTATTTTTGCTCTTCATATTTCAAAATAACATCCAATTTGGAATTTACCATAGCCTCTGCTAGTTTGGTTAAATTTGTTCCATATATCTCAAGTTTTGGATTGGATTCAAGAAAGCGTCTTGTGTTTCCTTGACAACCACTTTAGTAGCTAGCTCCCGGTGTCAATCCAAGTCCCAACATCGGTGTAGGTCCTGCCGGCTGGCCTTTCATTGTTGGAACAGAGATTGCTACCTTGTAATTTTGTAATTTGCAGAAGATGATACTCAATGATATGTACATTTCAATACAAACATGAAGTTAATGCAGTCATTTACAAGGCAGAGATACAATGAAGCAACCTTGATTTCAATTTGAAAATGAAACTGAAAATATTTTATCACCTTAGATACATTTTACCTAGATTATAATTGTCCAGATGACGGAGTTAGTTGTGTAAATTGGGTTCGGCCCGGATCATCCGAGCTGGGGCTGGGGCCGGCCCATGTTGGGCCGTTGGAATTTTCGTCACAATTCGGGCCGGGCTGCTTACGGGTCAGAAATTTAGGCCCAAGTCCATGGGGTATTCAGGCCTTGGGTGGGCCAACGGCTTGAATATTTTTTTTAAATTTTATTTTATTTTTTCTATTAAAATTTTATTATTTTCTACTAAAAATTATATTGGGTTGTGGACGGGCCGGGTCTCGGGACGGGTTTGAGTGCGTCTTGAGCGGGCTGATAGACCAAGCCATGGCTTAACTAGTGGGCCAGGCCCACGGGTCGAAAATGACAACCCAAGCCCAACCCAGGCCTAACTAGGTTAGGCCAATCCCAAGCTACGGGCGGATTTCGGGCCGCGGCTCATTTTTATACCCCTTGACGAAGTGAAGAGAGATTATTACTCTTTTTGTTCCAAAATATTATTTTCATATTTTAATTTTTATTGTCTCAAAATATTAGGTTTTTTTTTTTAAAAAAAAAATTAACAACTAAAATAACATAAATTTCTTATTTTGTTATTCTTTTAAATTCATTAACATTAATATTTTTAATGATGAATTACACTAACAGTCTCTGTAGTTTGGGACTTGTGTCACTTTGTCTCTGACTTTTTAATTGTAATACATTTAATTTTAACTTTTGAATAATATTTCAAATAAGGACAATCAAAAAATATTTCCTTTGTACAAGTTCATTTCAAGGACAAAATTGTCATACAACTTATTTTGTGTTGGTTAACTTATATGTTGTTTGAAATGTAATGACCTTTTTTGTAATGAATAATATTTTCTTGATTATAAAATTCTGTTTGGTTTGTTTTTCAAAATTTATTTTCAAAAACTAAAAATTAAATTGGTGGAAAAAATTTAAAAACACATTATTTTTATATAATTTTATCTTTTGGGAGGATAGAAATAATTTTTTAAAATAATTTTTTTTGATATTTATTTTCGTTAAATTAATTTTATTTTTTAAAAGTCAAACATATCGACAATTTTGTTATTATTACTAAACCAATCTATTAAATCAAAAAATCAAAAATTAAAAATATTTCATATATTAAATATATCAATTACACATTAAAAGTCTAATAACCATTCATTACATGATAACCGTCAAAAAATATCTGTTAACAACAAATGTAACCGTCTATTACATGATAACCATCAAAAAACATTAACAAAAAGACTACACATTACATGATCATCTTTCAAACACATACTTTTTAATTAATTCTGTTAAATAAAAAATTTTGACAATGGGGTATTTGTAATTTTTCAAATCACATGGGGCAATCTATACTTGATGCAAATCTCAGAGGGTATATTTGTAATTTATCCAAAATAAAAGAATAAAAATGTAAAAGATTTATCGTTTTTATATAATTTTATCTTTAGTGCGTAGAAAGAATTTTAAAAATTCAAAAATAATTTTTTAATATTTATTTTTGTCAAACTAGTTTATATTTTATCAAATTGATGCTATTGTCCTTGAAATGAAGAAATAGTGTTTTAAATTTTCCTTTTTTAGAATAAAATTTAAAATTCAAGGTTAAATATATCACAATTAAAAAATTAGGAATGAAAGTGACACAAGTCCCAAATTAAAAGAAACATTAGTATAATTGGTTCTATTTTAAAAATATAATAATTATACTATCAAATGATAATTTTTAAAAGTTAATATTATTCAAATATATTAATTATATTAGATTCTCAAACCGAAGGAATAATAATTTTTCAACACTCAAAGAAAAAAAAGCTATTAACGCTAAATATTTTATCAAATCTCTATATGAGACTCACACTCCACCCAAATTTATATGCATGTCAATCACATGCCCATATAAAAAATTTAATAAAATATTTAATAAATTATTTAAAATTCCTAATATTATTTCTCACAAAGTATATCCCTTCGCTACACAAACGCATGGAACACGTGACTAGCGTTATCGTTACGATATGGGGGTGATTCGACCCGACTTACATATCTTTAAAAGACAAACCAACCAACCTTCATACACACACTAACAAGGCTATAAATTTAAAGAATAATGTTTTAAAGCACTAAATCGAGAGTTCTAGAGCATCACTAATGATATGGCACAGTAGTCCCACCAAAGTGATGTGATGTTTTGACTTGAATTTTTTTTTTTTTAAAGCTCATTAGAGCTATTAGTAATCCAAAAATTAGTGAGATGAATCACCACTCAAATTTAAATTTATAAATTCCAGATTTATTAAAAAAATTAATTAATAATTTAAATTTATTTTATTTATAAATTTATGTATAATTAATTTAATTTTTATCACACATATATATATTCTAAACAAATTATAAATTCACAAGTCTCTATTCATAACACTTTTGTTATGACACCCCCCATTCAATCCAAATAATTTAAAAACTCTAATGATAAATCTATGTGTTAGAACTCATGTTAAACACTAGTGCTAGAGCTGTTCATCACTATCCAATAAATAAAGCCCAACTCCTCCGGTCTCACTCCACTCTTTTTTCTCTCTCTCTCTCTCTCTAAGAGACTCATGGCTTCATCATTATTCCATCCCTCTCCACCCTCTCCCCTTCCCAAGCCCACCCCACACCACCACAGAACCACCACCAAAATCAACCACCGCCAAACACCCATCATCAAATGCACCACCTCTTCATCACCCACTTTCGATTCCTCCTCCCTCACCAACAACGCCACCACCCCCACCACACCAGTACCCAAATCACCCTCGCCGGAGTCTCCTGCTGCGGCGAAACACCGGCGTCCGGCCGAGGAAAACATCCGCGAGGAAGCCCGGCGCCACAGCTCCGCCCACAACTTCTCCGCCAGGTACGTCCCTTTCAACTCCGACCCCAACAGCAACGAATCCTACTCTCTCGACGAGATCGTCTACCGGAGCCGCTCCGGCGGCCTCCTCGACGTCCAGCACGACATGGCTGCTCTGAAGCAATTCGACGGCAATTACTGGCGCTCACTCTTCGACTCCCGCGTCGGCAAAACCACCTGGCCCTACGGCTCCGGCGTCTGGTCCAAGAAAGAATGGGTGTCGCCTGAGATCGACAGCGACGACATCGTCAGCGCTTTCGAAGGAAATTCCAACCTTTTCTGGGCTGAGCGTTTCGGCAAACAGTTTCTAGGCATGAACGATTTGTGGGTCAAACACTGCGGGATTAGCCACACTGGTAGTTTCAAAGATCTCGGCATGACGGTTTTGGTCAGTCAAGTCAATCGCCTCCGCAAGATGAAACGTCCGGTGGTCGGAGTCGGTTGCGCTTCCACCGGCGACACCTCCGCCGCCCTCTCCGCCTACTGCGCCGCCGCCGGTATTCCCTCCATCGTTTTCTTACCCGCAAATCGAATCTCAATCGCCCAATTGGTTCAACCGATCGCAAACGGAGCGTTCGTGTTGAGTATCGATACCGATTTCGATGGATGTATGAAGCTAATCAGAGAAGTCACATCCGAATTGCCTATCTATTTGGCGAATTCACTCAACAGTTTGAGACTCGAAGGGCAAAAAACAGCCGCCATTGAAATTCTTCAGCAATTCGATTGGGAAGTTCCAGATTGGGTCATCGTTCCTGGTGGAAATCTAGGCAACATTTACGCATTCTACAAAGGATTCAAAATGTGTGAAGAATTGGGACTCGTTGATCGAATTCCAAGGCTTGTTTGCGCTCAAGCAGCGAATGCGAATCCATTGTATCTACATTACAAGTCAGGTTGGGGTGAATTCAAGCCAGTGAAAGCAAATACTACATTCGCTTCAGCTATTCAAATCGGAGACCCAGTATCCATTGATAGAGCAGTGTTTGCACTCAAGAACTCGAATGGGATTGTTGAGGAAGCAACTGAGGAAGAACTTATGGATGCCATGGCACAGGCTGATTCTACAGGCATGTTTATATGTCCTCACACCGGTGTTGCATTGACGGCTTTGATTAAATTGAGGAATAGTGGGGTTATAGGACCGACTGATCGGACGGTTGTGGTGAGTACGGCTCATGGGTTGAAATTTACGCAGTCCAAGATCGATTATCATTCGAAGGAGATCAAGGACATGGCGTGCCGCTATGCGAATCCACCGGTGCAAGTGAAGGCAAGTTATGGGACAGTCATGGATGTTTTGAGTGACTATTTGAAGAAAACTCCGAAATTTTAGGGGAGGGACTATGAAAAAACCAGAGAAATCAGTCCAGAATTTAAAATCAATGGGTATGATTTATGTGTAATCCTTGGTGCCTCGAATTCACCATGGCTCAAATTTCAAATTTCTGTTTACTCGTCGTTCGGCAAAAAAGTTGACAGCGCCGAACAACCGGCCAGATAACTGACCGGACGACCGGTGAACAGAAATTCAAGCCATTCGAGGCAAGGTGAATTTGAGATATGTAACATTTGCTCTCATGTATGGTGTCGTCCCATAACAAGAGATTTAAATATATGCCACACATTTAAATTTCTTTTTTTGGGTGCTTAGTTTTCTTCCAAGAAATTGTTAGTTTTTTTGGGGATGTTCTATTTGTAGAAGCCACTGTATTTGAAGGAAGCACGTGCTGATCTTGGCATACAATTTTAGGGTATGTTTTGGGGAAGCCATTTTTATTATTTGGCTTCTTGTTTGGCTTCAATATCTTTTTGTAAAAAATAGTTCTAGTTGAAGTTTGATTGTCAGTTCGTAATCTTTCATTATAAATATTATGTATGGTGGAAAGTTATTTTGAAAATCATTTCGAAAAAAATGTGTATGGTCTAGATTTAAAATTAGTGAAATATGAATCACATATAAAATAATTATGATTCTAATGTGTATCTTTAAATTTTTTTGGAGTATATATTAGTATTATGGGTAAATTATAAATACGTACATTGAGTTTTGCGTAAAGTACAAGTTGTCTTATGTAATTTAGAAAATTACAAATACTTTCTTGTTAGAATTTTTTATTTAACTGAATTAACTAAAAAAATGAAATTCATAATTACTCTCCTATACAATAATAAAATTACCTAAATTATTAATTGAAACATATTTTTAATATCATTAAAAATTATTAATTGACTAAATGATTTATTAATAAAAATGACGATTTGTTGTGAAATTAAAAATCTCAGGAGTGGAATGTAATTTCTAAAATCACAGAGACGATTCGTATTTTAATCAAATTTCAAGAAATGTATTTATAATTTACCTTAGTATTATTGATTTCTTTTTTGTGATCGCTTTTTAGTTTGATGGTGTAATGAAGGAATCATTCAAATGAATTTGTAGTATTTTGAACACGTTGACATATCTCCAATCGTTCATCAAATATTTTATCAAATTTGAATAAAAATTTGATCTGATACAATGCATTTCAACTCTTTCATCAAATTTGGCTAGCCGATCGACAGTCATCCAATCGTCATCCGTCTAGAGTAAATTTTTATCAAATTCATCATAAAATCGATTGTCCAAAAAGATGTCCGAGAGAACGTTCCAACCAACAGTCACTCACAAATTTGATAATAGAATAAACACTCCCTTCATATAATTAAAAAAATATCACTTTCTTCATTTGATATGAAACTGATGAAATTGTTAAAACACTATTTTTATTTGTTTTTGTTAAGTTTAAATTTAATAAAAAAATCTAATGGAAGATTAGAAATGGCCTTAGGTTGAAATAAATAAATAATAAAATAAAAAAAAGGGGAAAGGAAACAAGGGTTGAGAGAAAAAAGCAATAACAAAATGATCCGCAGCTGGAAAGTTTTGGCTCAAAACGGTTTGAAAGTACGAATTTCTCTCTCCTCTCTATCTTTTCCGTTCCTTTCCCTTTGTTTTGCTCTCCTCTCCTCTTTGCCTCTGCACTCTCACCTCTCTATCTCTCTCATCTCTCGCGGAAGGATGATGTGTTGATGATGATGATGATGATGATGTTGACAAAGATGATATTGTTTGATGATGATAATGTGTTGATGAAGATGGTGTTGTTGATTTTTTTTTTTTTTTTTTGTTATTTAATTTTTTAATTTTTTTTTCCCTACTGGATCTGGATTTGAAGATGAAGATCGAGATGAAGATGAGGGAAAAAAGAAAAAAAATTGTTGGCTGATGATGATAATGATGATGTTGATGAAGATGTTGATGATGATCTCCAGATTCTTATTCTTCTTCTTCCTTCTTTAGAAAAACGTGAAAAAAAAAAAACCCAAAATGACATCATTTTGGGTTTCGGGCCAATTCAGGTCAATAATTTTCGAGCTACCAATCGGAACCGAAAGCAATATCGTTTTTCACTGTACTTTTTTATTTTAAGTATTATAAATTGAGCAATGATTCATAACTCTAACAGTGGCTTTAATGATATGACATGAAATTAAAAAAAAAATAATAATAATAACAAGACACATACATCAAATCATTCATAAATAAGACTCACAATTACATAAATAAAACTCTCATTAGAGCTCTACTTTTAATATTTTTAACAACAATGTTAGAGGGTCATAATTTTTGTGGCCACAATGGCTCAAAACTGTCAAAACAACGTCATTTTTGGTGCAAAACATGCCAAAATGACATCATTTTAACAATTTTAAGTCATTATAACCACAAAAATTGTAACCCTCAAACATTCTTCTATTTTTAAATATTCTTGTTATAAATTATACAGAAGATCGAATCCGGTTAGTTGGGACGGGATTGAGAAAATCTGACGAGAGAATCTCTCGTGTGCATGTGTGCCCCGTGTGCCCAAACATGTGTATGGCATGGCTTCAGATAAGAAGGTTGAGGTTGGTAGTTGAATTAAGAAAATTGGGCGCATTTATCAATAAAGGGAGGAAAGTATTGTTAAGCAACAATGATTCATCCCACTAAAAATATCACCACTAATAGCACTAATGTATTTAAAAAGTAAAAAAAAAAAAAATGCAACTCCAAAATTAAAACATCACATCATTAATGGCGGGACCCACTGCCACCTAATTAGTGGGAGCACTAATTAGTGCTCCCAAGCATTTTTCTATTGTTAAGTGGTTTTTTTAAAAATTAATTATTGATTAATGAAAAAATTTATTACTTTCACACTTTCATATTTATAAAATTTGTCATTAATTTATAAATATTTTTTGAACTAACATAAAATTTGTCATTAATTTATAAATATTTTTTGAACTAACACTCTGACAAGAAATTTTTCCTGATAAAATAAGGATAATAAATTATTAAATCAACAACTACTACAATTCCATCTCTACTTTTTTTTTTTTTTTTTTTCCGGTTCATAGAAAGAAAAACATAAGGAAAAAAATTGAGTATTAGGCAAAGCTGCCTTAGACAGCAGCAGAAGACCCAATGACGTCTGCAACAAGCAAATTTGCAATCTCAGTGGAAGGATCACTAAGAAAAACAAAAGAGTCCTAGTGGGTCACACCCGTGTTTGCCAAGCCATCTACACTTTTGTTACCCTCTCTGAGAATATGGGCTATGGCGCAATTGCATCTTTCCATTAAGAATTTAGTATCTTCAAGCAGGGCCCTTTGCTGAGAGTGTTGAGATGATACCCTTGATGAGTTTGACAACTTGTTTTGAATCTGTTTCAATGCATATGTCATTCATTCCCTTCTTAAGCATTATGGTTAGGCCTCTGTAAACTCTCCGGAGTTCAGTCTCTATACTAGTTGCTGCCTCTAGTTTTCCATGATAGCCATACAGCCAAGATCCTCTTTCATCTCTGAAAAATCCACCATATCCAGCTAGTCCCGGATTGCCCTTTGAACACCCGTCAGTGTTGAGTTTGATTTTCCCCCTACAAAAGGCAAAACCCAATTAGCTATGCGATTTAGAGGTTGTCCAGTAAAGTGGTCAGCTTGAAAGGCTTCATAGGTCTCTGTAGCTTGGTGTTGAATGTATTTGATAGCTTCATGAACATTCTCTTTCTTTTGTCTGAATACAACATTGTTCCTGTCCTTCTAGATTGTCCAAATGGTGTACAAGAACACAATGCCCCAAGGGATTTGATAGGTCTCTTTTTCCTTATTCTTCAAATTTAGTTGAAACCACTGTTCTAGAGGTTGTCTCTCACAAGCCTCTAACCATCTATAGTCTTTTGTAGTATGCCAAACTTCCTTAGCTTTAGGGCAATCTCTAAAGAGGTGGTTGAGATCTTCAGTAGCTTATTTACATCTAGGACATCTATCATCTATAGTTAAACCTCTAATGCATCTTTGTTGATTAGTTAATAGACACCTTTGGAACAGCAACCAGCAAAGGCCCTTTAATTTTTGAGGTATCTTCAACTTCTATATCTTCAACTTCTAGCCATGTTATTGCTCTCATTAGTTTTGGTTAAAAGGTTATAAGTTGCACTTACTGAGAAGTTTCATGTTGGTGCCCCTTTCTAGTGTGGATTGTCAGTGATTGTTACAAATTTTGGTAGGTGGATTTGAAGGATGTTCTGTAAGACTGATTGTGGAATAAAATCAGCAATTTCTTCAAGCTTCTAGGAACCATCCTCCTGTATCACATCAGTTACCTTCATGTTGTTCAAAGAGTGATCTCCAAGGCATTGGGCTACAATGATGTCTTCTTCACACCAGTTTTTGAGAAGATCCCTGGTCTTGATAATGCTCCTCCAAATGTGGAAAGCAGCTCGATTAGTAGGCTAGTCAGACAAAGCTTCTTTTTGGAGATACTTGCCTTTCAAAACTACTATCCAAATTGATTCTTTATCACTGATCATTTTCAATCCCAGTTTTGCTAAAAGAGCTATGTTTTGATCTTCAGCTCTTTTGAGACCAAAGCCTCCTTCTTGTTTATTCTTGCAAACTTGTTTCTAGCTGACCAGATGGACTTTTTTCCTATTATTTTGATCTCTCCACAAAAAGTTTTTGTTTTGCTTGTCAATTTGCTTGCATACACTTTGGGGAAGCTTGGTTGTTTGCATGATGTAAGAGGGGATAGAGGAAGATACATGTTGAACAATGGTTGTTATACCAGCAATGGATAAAGGTATTAGCTTTCCAGTTGGAGAGTTTCTTCTGGATTTTCTCCAAAATGTTATTATAGATGTTTCTATTAACTCTACTGTGAAGAAGAGGAACACTTAAATATTTTCCCAAATTTTGTGTGAGAGCTATGCCACAATAATTGTTCAGTTCTCTAGCCTTCCTGCTTTCTACATTGGGAGATGTGAACAGTTTTTATTTTTGTAGGCTAACTGCCTATCCTGAGATTTGGCAAAACTCATTGATTATATTCATCACAATTTCACAGTTGACTTGATCTGCTTAAGCAAATAAGAGGACGTCATCTGCAAAGAAAAAATGAGATATAGATGGTCCCCTTCTAGCTGCTTTAATGCCCTTCCAAAGTTTGTTCTCCACTTTATGTATGATTATATTAGATAGTCGTTCCATGCACATGACAAACAAATAGGGAGAGAGTGGGTCACCCTGTCTTAGGCCTCTACAAGGTGTAAATTCCTCCATGGTTTCACCATTCCACAACAGTGAGAAGTTGACAGAAGAGATACAAAACATGATTAGATCCATCCAATGGTTATTCATATTGAACTCACAAAGGGTTACTCTCAAGAAGTCCTATGAGATCTTATCATAAGCTTTCTCAAGGTCCAACTTAATGATGAGACCTCCAACCTTTCATTTCCTGTAGTGCAAAGTGT